AGTGCCCCGTATTACCAGCTAGCCCTGAGAAGTAGCTGGGCATTTATGAAGTATTTATTTATGGAAGCTCAATACTAAAACATTCTCTCACTTCAGCTTAAGACCCTGTGAAAGGGCATGGTGATTTCATCTTATGGAAGTTCACTGTGTCCACCCACACGCACCCAGACAATAAGGTGTGTGTGTCCAAGTGGTCTGGCCAGGACTGGCTGCTACAGAGGACAGGAGCAATGGCTTTTGGAAATGTCTTTTATATCCTTTGGGATTCAGTAGAGCTTRTGGTGCTATGTTTTTCTCAGTATCCTGCTTCACCCATCCTAAACATGAAGTAAGTTGTCTTTTCCTGTTTCGGGGTGCCTTGGCTGGTGCATAATAATGTGGAGAGGAATGGCACACACCACACGGTCTCCCTCTTGTTGCCAAAGCACAGGTCTGCTGCTGAGAAGGCAACTGCACCACGGCCATTTGGAGCTTAGGCTTCCTGGGCTGGGTGGCAACAACACATTTCTCAGCATCTTCCCACTTTATTGCTGTCAGTCACATCCCTTGTTATCCATACATGCTGCTCTTTAGAGGCTTGCTCAGTTRTTTCTTCTGCTGTTTCATACATGTATGTCTCTATTCATACTTAATYCGTAGCAGTTTTAGCATTTCTTCTACAAATCTTTGTTCCACAGATAAGAATTGCTTTGCATATTTTTATCTTGAGGCTTTTGCATATTCATCTTTTTTTTCCCTGCTCTTCTGCCACCTTTCCCCCTCTCCTGGCATGCAAACATTAGATGCCCAAATCTTACATCTTTGATGGAGAGATTTGTCAAACACTCCTCTCTTGGAGGAAAAAAGAAGAGGGAGAGTATGAGGAGTTTTGCAGTGCGCCAGGTGTAGGAGCTACGAAATGGCAAGTACTGATCTTCGTCTCCATGACAGCAATGATTAAATGTTACTTTTTCATCAGTTTGTGAATATATATTTTCACAGTCTCTTTTCAGACAGCGTGAGCTCGGAGGTGGTAAGTTTTCCAGCTTGTCCTTTGCGTGGGATCCTGGAAAGAAAGCTAGACTGGGTAGAGAGACCYGGGCAGGGTGGGACAGCTGAGCTCAGGTTAGAGATGGTGTCTATGCAGACCACTGCGAAATATTTTAGTGGCTTATAAAACCAAAGTGTTGATTTGAAATCAACCATGTATTTAAGGAGCAACGTGTGAAATGTATTTCCATACTTGCAGTACTCTTAAGTGTGGAGGATGGTAAAGTGTGTTAATGAATAGGAGAGAACATTATATAAAAATAACGAGGGTGAGGGGATCAGCAATGTGTTCACTGATGTAATTCACTGGTGTCCTCTATCTAGAGATGGCTGCATTGGAAAGGTAGTGTTTGCTCCCCATAAAGACAGCTCAGAGAAGCCTGTGTTTTCTAGCAATGATTGTATCAGAGTCTTGGAATGAATGTGCAATTTAGCACAAAATACGCTAGAAGAAGAAAAAAAATCTGCAGTAATTGCTTGGCATCTGCTTAGTGCTGTTGAACTAGTCAGGCGTCTCATCTGTGTTTAATAATCCCTTCCAGGTCAGGTTTTGGTAATTCATAAAGTGCTCTAATAGCTGAAAGCTTGGAACACAGCATGAACTCTGAAACAAAGAACTTTGTGTTTTATTTTTCTTTTTCTGTGTACTACTTTGTAATGCAGGCTKTAAGCTGCTCTGTGTCAGCTTGAACAGGATGGAGCTGAAACCAAGGAATTATGAGTTRTTTTTTTCTAATGGATTGGYAAATGCTTACACTAGCAACATGTRTGTCACTGGGAGCATGCAGAAGCACAGCGTGTTCAGCTGGGAGGCTGGGGGTAACTGCTTCTAATGCCAACATGTGTGAGACAAACATTTCTGTGTGGGCAGCATTTCAGATCGTTGGGCAGATGTGGAAGAACAGTTATCCAGGCGTKGAAAGGCGTCACATCCATTTTGGAYAACAAACACAGGACCCAAYGTGGTTCCTTTGTTGCACTGGAGCACAGTGGGTGCTCAGGGTGGGAGCCCTGCTCCAGACATGGCCACTGAGGTGCACGTGGTGTCCCAGGGCTGCGTAGCAATGGCTGTGGAGGATGGGGTTGAATCCTGCTCTCAGAGATTYGGGATCCACTTGCAGGCCTTCACCAGTGGCAGAGACCTGTGAAATATTTGAGGAGGGTGCGTGGCACTAGGAATGTCTACCTGTGTAAGCAGCAATCATGCTCGAGTGCCACCTTGAAAATAGGGAGGGGACAGAAGGTTGTTTTGTCCCACCGGAGTCGGTAATGTGGTGTGGTAGCAATTACTTGAAATCTGGATGTACCACTGCAAGTTTTTTCCTGAACAAAATGCTTCCTGAAATGCATTTAATCCACTTTTAATATTACCTAATCTTAAAAAAATAATCTAAAATACTTTAAATAATACGAAATAATACTAAATACTAAATAATACTAAATACTAAAATACTAAAATAATTTTTAAAATAATTTAGACAAGTAGAGAATAAATTTGAATTTTAAGTCCTAATTACATTTAACATTCTGAGGTGAAAACAAGAAATGCTGTCATAATTTACTTAAAATATGCCAACAGCAACATTACAGAATCAATTTTACTTATACTCTTGATTAATTTATGTAAATAATGAAAGATTCATTCATACAAAGTTGTGAATTCACCTTGTCCTTGTTGGTGTGTCCCTCCT